CATGGCACCAATGCCACCTGCTCTTCCCCCAGCTCTCACAGGCAGGGGACCTCATCATCGAGGTTTACCTGGAACAGAAGCTGCCTGACTGCTGCGTCACCCTGAAGGTGAGTCCCAAAGGAGGGCCATGCTGGAGGAAGCGAGGAGGGATGCAGGCTCCTGGTCCAGCTCTGGGACCCATCCTGCCACCACCCACTGCAGCTCCATGTGTGTCCGGCCGCAGGTGTCCCCCACGATGACGGCAGAGGAGCTCACCAACCAGGTCCTGGAAATGCGCAATGTGGCGGCCAGCCTGGACATCTGGCTGACCTTCGAGGTCCTGGAGAACGGGGAGCTGGGTAAGCATGGTGGGGATGGCACGGGGAGATGGTCTCAGCACAACCAGGTTGGTGAGGAGGAGGTGTGGGATATGGGGGTCAGCTTGCTGCCAGTGGCAGCGGGGACAGGGACTGGCACAATGGAGGAGACACAGTGGTGATAGTGTTCCTGCCTCTCCAGAGCGGCCCCTGCACCCCAAGGAGAAGGTGCTGGAGCAGGCTTTGCAGTGGTGCAAGCTTCCGGAGCCCAGTGCTGCGTACCTGCTGGTGAAGAAGGTCCCCATCGGGGAGGGCAGCTGTCTCTTCACAGGTAAGGCAATGACAGAGGGTCCCAGCCCCTAGGGGTGTCCCCAGAGGGGGACAGCTCTGCCCCAGCTTCCCCTGGCCACCTCCCATCAGGGGCACATCCCTGAGACCCACAGCCACCCTCACATACCCACGGACATCCTGACCCCTGTCTCCTCCCACTGGGCAGGCGCTAAGCGTGAGACCCCCAAGTGCGGGCTGCTGAAATGCCGCGAGGAGCCCCCCAAGCTGCTGGGGAACAAGTTTCAGGAGCGCTACTTTGTCATCCGGGACCGGAGGCTGCTGCTGCTCAAGGAGAAGAGGGTACCCGGGGGATGCTGTGGGGACGGACCGGCGCCCCGAGGGCAGGAGGGAGAGGCAGGGAGAGGGACCCTAGGGGCAGTTGTGGCACGGTGGTGGCTGTTCTCCTGGCAGGGAGGCTGGCATCAGGCTGGGCTCACCCGGTGCATCTCCTTCCCCAGAGTGTCAAGCCGGAGCGCGAGTGGCCCCTGGATGCAGCCAAGGTTTACATGGGCATTAGGAAGAAGCTGAAGCCACCAGCCCAGTAAGTGGGACCTTCCCTGGCCGTGGCCCTGGGGCCATGCATTCCTTGGTCCCTGCCTCCAGCACCCAGCACGTGAAACCAGCTGCTGGGAGCATGCCAAGCTCCACCAGGACCCAAAGGCATGACAAGCCTGGGCCCATGGGGCGAGCTCAGCCCCCGACCCTGCTGCCTGCAGACCCATGGCTGTGTCTGAGCTTGGCAGTGCTGCCCCACAGCCTGTCTCTTCCTTTCCCCAGGTGGGGTTTCACACTGACCCTGGACAAGCAGCACCTGTGAGTACTTGCCCCTGCTGCCCTGGGGCTGGGGGGTTGTTGAGATCTGTCCCCAGTTTTGGTGGGAGTGGAACAGCTGGGGACAGTGCAGAGCTGGTGGCACTCAAAGGACAGAGTAGTGGGGGCCACAGTCCAGGGACAATCCATCTCCGTACCACACACCCTTCCTACCTCCCCATCCACACCAGCACCCTGGGGAGATGTGTCTTCCATGCATTCACCACCAAGGTCTGGAAGGACCTGGCCACCCTGTCCAGGTGTGCGTGTCACCTGCATGACTGTGCTGCCTGCCAGCCTTCACCCAGCTCCGCTCTGTGTCCCCACGCACCCAACACCATGTGCACCTGCACCGAGCTGAGCTCCCTGCCCTGGCCTCCCTGGTACCACAGGGTGCCTGGGCACACTCGTGCGTCCTGCTGATCCTGTCCCCATTTCCCTGACACTGCCCCAGTGCTGGGGCAGCAGCTGAGCATGTCACCTGTCCCCGAAATGGGGCTGAGATGTTCTTCAAAGGGCAGCAAGGGTAGATGAGCCGAGGTGCCTCATGGGTGCCCAATGACTTCTCGCCTTGCCCCAAAGCAGCAATTTGGGAGTGCAGAGAGTTTCAGAGGTGCAGCCCCACTACGTGTAGTTGTGGCTGACAGCCCCAGGCTCACGGGCAAGGTGACAAGGAGATGGGGGCCCCACTGGCCCTGCTCCCTGGCAGCTTCTCAGCTGACTCATCTGCAGGTACCTGGTGTGCTCGGGGCAGGCTGAGTTATGGGACTGGACCACCAGCATCCTCAAGGCTCAGGTGGGTGCAGGCAGGCTGGGTTGGGCTGGGAGGGGGCTGGCAGGGCAGCCCAGCATGACTCCCCCTTCCTGCCCTGTCCTTGCACACAGCACGATGACCTGCGCCCCGTGATCATGCGCCGGCGCTCCTCCTCCGACCTCGCCAAGCAGAAGTTCGGCACCATGCCGCTGGTGCCCCTGCATGGGGACAGCACCGACGCCACCATGCTCTCCGCCAACCAGACCCTGGTAAAGCCCCTGCATCTACCCCTGCCCACGGGTGCCCCTGCACCCACCCAGCTCCACGCACCCATCCCGAGACCATGTGCCCACCCCATGGTGGCCCTGGAGGCGGGTGCGCACTGCCTGGCACCAATGGATGCTTTGGGTGTGTGTCCCTGTGCTCGGCGGTGTGTGCGTGCTGCATGCTGTGCTTGTTGTCTGTGGCACCGCTCCGTGTGTGCAGAGCCCTGTGAGGGCATGTGGGGTGCTGCACCCCGCTGCCCGTCCTCTACCTGCCGAGGTATCCGTGACCCTGCTCCGCACTACCATGTGCTTACCTCTGCCCGTCTCCTCTGTTTCTAGCGCCGCCTGCACACGCGAAGGACTTTGTCCATGTTCTTTGTAAGTACCCACACATGTGTAGCATGTCCGTTGCTGGCTTTGCACCGTGCCTCCTGGCTACGGCAGCAAGGGCTCGCCTGCAGCATCCCACCTGCACTCAGAGACATGCCTGGGCCATCCTGCCCACGCTGTAGGGCAGAGGAGGGGGTGCCCATTGCTCTGTGCGTCCCATTACTCGGGGATGGGTTCCCTGCATGGTTCTGGTGTGTGCAAGCAAGACCACAACAGTCCAGCCCAGCTCCCAGAGCCTCTCCAATTGGGTGCACATGGCCCAGAGGGGACTAACATAAGAAATGTGAGGGAATAGGTTTGGGTCCTCCTCAGCATCAGGTCATTTCCCTGGAGGCCACCTGGCTGGACCTCACCTCACCTGGCTTTGTGCTCAGCATGGGCACCCATCTGCCCTCCCCACCCCAGACCACTTTTGCCAAGGGATGCTGGGCTGGTGCCACAGCCTGGTGGCATGGACCGTGCCTTGGCAGGGACCAAAACGCTCACCCTCCATCAGCGATAGGGGAAGAAAGGGCAACTGGGACTGAGCCAAGAGACCTGATGGAGGGTGGGTTCCCTGCAGGCATCAACCCGACGGTGAGGCAGCAAGGGTCCCTGGGCAGCGCACGAGTGCAGGGAGGGCAACGTGAGGGGGGATGGCGGGGTACAGCTAAGCAGTGCGGACAGTGCCCCTCACACCAACGCCCCCACCCTCCCCCAGCCCATGAAGATGCACCAAGACTCCCTGGAGGAGCAGCAGGAGAAGGAGGCAGACGTCGATCCTGTCTACGAGGAGGTAGGCAACTTCCCCGAGCTGGCCGCGCTGGAGCTAGGGCGAGGGCTGCTGGCAGACCTGTCGGACATGCCCCCCGTGGACAGGTCCAAGAAGCCGGCCCCATTCCCTGAGCAGCCCCCAGACACGCCGCTGCGTTCCTCGCTGCCCGCCAGCCCAGCTCAGAGGGTGGTGGGTCCCTCCATCCCCAAAGCCCTGTCCCTTGAAAGGGGCTTGAACCTGGAGAGTGACAAAGCTCCAGCCCAGGGGCCCAGACCCACCAAAACGGCTTCTCTGGAGAGGAATATGGAGCCTTCCCTGGCACTGCCCAGGGACTGGGAGCAGGTAGCCACACCAGGGAGCAGTCCCAGTGTGGAGATGTCCATGGAGAACCCCAAGAAGAGGAACATGCAGCCTCCCTCACCCATCAATGACAAACTCATCCAGGAGCTCAGCAGCGTCATCTTCAGGAAGAACGAGGGCCAGACACCGGGGCCAGGCCAGCCGGTGACATGACCTGCCATGCTGAAGGGGCAGACACCGACCTGGGGGTCAAGTCGCACCCGGCGGCAGCGACGATGGGTACTCCACGCTCCCACATCACGGAACCCGAACCCTCCTTCTCCTCCTGACCCCAGCGCTGGGCTGGGAATGGGACCAAGTGGGGACCAGGGGACTAGGAGGGACTGGGATGCTGAGGGGAGGTACCCCCTCTTGGGAGGGCTGGGGATGCTGCCACACATGGTCTTGCTCATGGGTGGCACATCTGCCATTGGGCCCAGTGCCGAGGGAAGGAAGTAAAAGGGAGAATAAAAGCCTGTCCGCATGTTTTGGCAGCACCGCATAGTGTCAGGCAGGGGGCCATTGTGGTGCTTGCCAGCACAGGGGAACACGGCACCATGTCCCCTCCCCAGCACTGGGCCCGTGGGGCAGGGTCAGGACACCCAAGTCATCCCCCACTTCCATTCTTGCAATTAACCCAGCGTATTTTAGGGGGGGTCAACAGAAGCAGGGCTGGCCACGTGTTCCCGGCGCGTAGTCCTGGCGATGGAGGACAGCTGCTGCTCAGCTCGGGTATTTATATGTGTTCCTTCCACCAGCAGGGAAAAATAAAGGTTTATTTGTACTCTGGAGGGTTTGGTCACTGCAGGAGGAGCGGTGAGGGATGCCGGGGTCTGGCAGGAGGGGAGACTGGGGTGCTAGGGCTGGACACCCAGACTGGGGGACCCATAGGACGGGGGCAGCACCAGCGGCGTCAGAGGAACTGCTAAAGTGGGGCAAAGCCCTACTGAACCTCAAATCCAGGGCAGGATATTCTGCCCGAGTCTGCTGCCAGCCTGGGACGCTGCAGGGTCCCCCCTCCCCGGGGCAGAGGGACACAGCCCAGCACCCCCTGGCCCTGACTACAGCTGGCTCTGCTCGCTGGACCTCAGGGGCAAGGCTATCTTCTCCGAAGCCCTCCCTGAAGAGGTCTTGAGCCCTCCTGGGCAGCAGCTGACTGCATCCCGGACCCAGCCCCGAAAATCCTCAGAAATGTAGAAGTAGATGAAGGGATCGAAGCAGTTGTTGAAGGCGCTGAGCACCAGGGCGAGGGCATACCAGATGTAAGTGATGTTGTGGCACCCCGTGGCCTCCAGCATGTAGTGGATGAAGAGCAGCACGTTGCTGGGGGTGAAGCAGAGGATGAAGACCAGGAGGACCAGGGCCAGGACACGTACCAACTGCCCGTAGCGTTTCCCCTTGGCCAGAAGCTGCACCAGGATGCAGCTGTAGGAGATGGTCATGAGCACGAAGGGCAAGCCAAAGCCCACTCCCACCAGGGAGAGGAAATAGTAGACGAGAAACATGTGTTTATCCTTTTCTAGGACATCGTGGCACGTTGTGATGTTCAGGCTCGAGATATGATGTATCTGGGGGTGCAAAAGCAGAGGGCTCATGCCCAGCCCCACCACCAGCCAGATGGCCACACAGACACCTGCCTTGCCCCGTGTCCAACTGGAGCCCTTCCACAGGAACGGGTGTACCACAGAGATGTAGCGCTCCAGGCCAATACAGGTGAGGAAGAGGATGGAGCTGTACATGTTCCCGTAGAAGAAGGCCACCATGGTGCGGCACAGGTAGTCCCCAAAGAGCCAGTGATTGCCCAACAGGTGGTAGGAGATCTTGAAGGGCAGCAGGAGGACAAAGAGCAGGTCAGCACTGGCCAGGTTGAGCAGGAAGAGGGTGCTGGAACATCTTCTGAAGTTGATCACCAGAACCCAACAGGCCAGAGCATTGGCCGGCAGCCCCACAAGCAGGACCACAGAGTAGAGGGCAGGGAGGAGGCGAGTGGTGAGGGTGCTGTTGAGAAAACTTTCCACAGAGGCACTGGGGCACTTGGCTTCTTCTTGGGGAACGAGGGGGATCAAGACTCGCCCTTTGCTATGCGCTGTGGAGGACACAAGGCATCCGGTTAGTTCCAGAGCCCCCTCCCAGTGCCCCTTCCCACTCGGGACCATGCAGGAGACGTCACCCCTCCCTGCAGAGCTGCCAGCAAACGCAGGAGGTGGCATCTCCCCGCCCCATGGCAGGAGCAGCTCGAGACACGGGGGCCCTTAACACCCTCCACCCTCACTGTGCAGAGCCATGCCACGTCCTGTGCTGCCTGCACCGCTCTCCTGGCGGTGCCACTGTAGCAGTGCCAGCCCAGACGGGCGCCGTGCCCACAGCCCAGACGGGCTCTGCTCCTGCACGCTGCTGCGGGGACGCGCGGTGCTGCCAACATCCCTTTTCCTACCGAGCCCAGCACAATGGGTACCTCTGCAACATCACGGCATCAAAAGGACAGATGGGAAACCTACGCCAGGACAAGGTTGGGGTATGGCCACCCATGCCGGGATGGGAGATATTCTCCCACTGGGGTTTCTGCCTCCTCCTTCTCCTGGCCAGCCCCCCAGCTTGGCCCCCCACCGCAGCCAGGGCTGTGCACTCCTCCCATTTTCTTGTGGTCGGAGGCTTTCCACTGCAGGCTCAGAACAAAAGCAAAGAACGGGAAGGTCCCACAGCACCAGACAAAACAACTGATCAAATCCCCTTTCTGGCTTGCTCAAAAATCACAGCTGGGCTCTGCTCCCCTGCACGTCATTCCTGATTCCAAAAGTTCCACCCAGGTGGTGCCCAGGACACCCAAGCCCAGGGCACCCTGGTTACATCCAACAGGTTTCCCACAACCTCTGCCACCTCTCCGCATCCAGGGGAGAGGGGAAATTCAGGTTAAGGAGAGCAGTAACCTGATTTTTGCTGCCAAAAGTGTGGCAGGGTTTCAGGTCTTAGGTTTTCAACACAGGCACCCAGGGAACACAGCAGAGCTGCGCCCTGAGCTTTCACCGTGACACCCAGCTATGCCTTCCAAGTATCACAGGACATGATGTCATGGTGTCCCAGCAAAGCCTCCCTGCCCTGCTCCATCAGCCCCCAGACCCCACCAATGAACTTACCTGGGGAGAATTGGGTGGCTGAGCTGAGCCAGGCACAGCCAAGCAGGAGGACCACACAGGCAGCAGCGGAACCGGGTGGAAGCACCGGCCGGGACATCTCGGTGGGGTGGCCTCTGCACAAATTGGGTCTGCACAAATGTCACAGACAGGGCTGGTCCCACTGTGTGTCACCACAGCAGGACAGGCACCAACCCCCTCCCCGCTGGCACCCTTCCTCTTTCTTCTCTACGTCGTGTCCACGTCCTGCCCACGTTCCTGTGGTCCGAGCGGCCAGACGGCAGGCGGGAGAGCACGAGATGACCACCCACTGTCACCGCCGCCGAGCACTCACGGGACGTCACGGGTGATTTCCAGCTGCCGGCACGCAATAGCACACTGTGGGGAGGAGGAAGCGGACGTAAGGCCAACGTCGAAAGACGGTTGTGAACCACAGCGTGCAGGTGGAGCTATACATGCATAAGCGTTGGGCAGGAAGGAGGCAGCCAGCACGCAGCCCGGTGACATGTGCCCCTGCCCCATTGCAGCAATCTCCCGCCTGCCCAGCCCTGCCTGGACCAGACATCCCCAGGGATCATCACCACAGTCTGAAAAGCCGACGTCACCTTGTAGATGGGGTCGCCCTGCATTGTCCCACTCTGCTGTCCCCCTCCTGCCAGCCAAACGAGTGCTGGGTGGCCTCATTTTCCCAAAGGTATGGGAGGGGGATGAGAGAGGGACAGAGGGACTGGGGGACAGACAGGGCTGGGGAGCCCTCATTGGTTCCAGGTGCCCCCCACCGCATGGCACTGCTCAGCACTGCACCCGTGTCCCCACAGCATGGTCCTGCCAAGCCAGGGGCTCTTCATCCTCCATGTGACGTGGGACCCAACATGTCCCCATGCCTGGGGGCTCAGGCCCCACTGCCCCACATGCCCCCACATGCCAGGACCAGTGCCATGGTGTGCCATGTGTCACCACATCCTGAGGCCAGTGTCCTATGTGTTCTCACGCACAAGGGCTTGGTCCCCTGTGTACATGGTGTCCCTGTGCCCCAGCACTCCCTATGTCCCCATGTGTCCCTGTCTCCCTGTTTCCCCATGTTCTCGTCTCCCCATGTCCCCATCTCCCCATCTGTCGATGTCTCCATGTCTTCATCTTCCTGTGTCCCCATGTCCCTATCTCCCTGTGTCCCTGTGTCCCCATGTCCCTGTCTTCCTGTGTCCCCATGTCCCTATGTCCCCATGTCCCCATTTCTCCCCATGTCCACATCTCCCTGTCTCCCCATGTCCCTGTGTCCCCGTGTCCCCATGTCCCCAAGTCCCCATGTCCCCATCTCCCTGTATCCCCTTGTCCCTGTGTCCCTACTGCCCATATGTCCCTGTGTCCCTATGTCCCTGTCTTCCTGTGTCCCCGTCTCTCCATGTCGCTATCTCTCACCATGTCCCCATCTCCCTGTCACCCTGTGTCCCTGTGCCCCCACGTCCCCCCATCCCCATGTCCCAGAGTCCCCGTGCCCCTGTGCCCCCTGTGTCCCTACTGCCCATATGTCCCTGTGTCCCCATGTCCCCAAGTCCCCATCTCCCCATCTCCACATATTCCCCATCTCCCTGTCTCCCCTTGCCCCTGTGTCCCTACTGTCCACATGTCCCTGTGTCCCCATCTCCCTGTCTTCCTGTGTCCCCATCTCCTCATGTCCCCATTTCTCCCTATGTCCCCATTTCTCCCCATGTCCCCATCTCCCTGTCTCCCTGTGCCCCCGTGCCCCCACGTCCCTCCATCCCCATGTCCCCGTGTCCCTGTGCCCCTGTGTCCCCATGTCCCCAAGTCCCCATCTCCCCATCTTCCCATATTCCCCATCTCCCTGTCTCCCCTTGTCCCTGTGCCCCTACTGTCCACATGTCCCTGTGTCCCCATCTCCCCGTCTTCCTGTGTCCCCATCTCCCCATGTCCCCACTTCCACCCATGTCCCCATCTCCCTGTCTCCCCATGTCCCTGTGTCCCTACTGTCCACATGTCCCTGTGTCCCCCTGTCCCCACCTCCCCGTCCCCCCGTGTCCGTGTCCCGGCGCTCCGGCGGCACTGACCACTAGGCGGCGCGCGGGGCACAGCGGTGGGCGTGGCTTCCCCAAAGGGGGCGTGTCGAAGGGGCGGGGCTTGATGGGCGAGTCACGGGGGGGCGTGGCCTTGCGGAGGGCGGGGCCGGGCCCGGCAGTTCCGGGCTCCGCGCACG